CAGTTGATGCTCGCATCGAGAGGCGTTGTCCCTCAGTTTGTAGAAGGAGCACCACTATCTCCAATATGAGAAGTACCATAACCTCTCTGCTTTGGGCACTAAGGCGCTCTTCACCGTGGCACCCAATGTCAGGGTGCCCCCATGCAGCGTCAGGGCGCCCCTCGCTAGGGAGTCCCCTTACTGCACGTAGGCGCCTCAAATGTCCCCCTTCCCCATATACCTACTCCACATGCTACCAACCATATTAGGTAAGAGGATGAGGGACAAAACCAATATGCTGATCATGAAAGTCACTACAATGACCCAACGAAGGATGTTTTCAACCAATGGGAAGAGAAGATTAAGGAGGTTCAAAACCAGCTTGGCGATGCCCTCAATGCCATCAAAACACAAGCGTCAGAGAAGGTGGATTACTTGGTAAGGTGCACTGATGTCTCGTTTGTTGTCGATGTTGTCAACTACCTCTGCCCTCGAAGTTCAAGATGCTTGCTATCGAGATCTTCGATGGTACCAAAGATCATCTGGATCGTCTTGACACATATAAATCTCTTATGCAACTCCACAACGTGCCTAATGAGATCATGTGTAGATGCTTGCCTTTAAGATCTTCGATGGTACTAAGGACCCTCTAGATCATCTTGACACATAAATCTCTCATGCAACTCTACAACGTGCCTGATGAGATCAGGTGTAGAGCCTTTCCTACCACCTTTAAAGGATCTGCTCGATAATTAATGGTTCACAAAAATCAAACCCTCTTCTATCCATTCCTTCTTGGAGTTANCACTGTTGCTGTTTCTCGAAGTGGAGTAGGTCAATATGACCGAACCATTATATATCTGTGTGTTGACCCAATATTTAACTTTTTGTCATTGATTGTTTTATTAATTGTTTCATTAACTCATTTGCATTATTCACTCGACTGTTGATTATACATAAGTCTATTTTGTGCATCATCAGTTTGACGTTGTCTATGGGAAATGACTAAATTTTCTACTATGTTGCTACTCTCTTTTAAATCCATGGCAATCACGACTAGGTCAATGAATCAACAACTGGAGGACAACAACCAAGCTTGCCGGGAGGAGGCTCCGCCTGCACTTGCGGAACCATCCATTGTGGTATCTCCCGTGGTCGGACAACAGCTTTTGGAGACCATGCAGTTATTGGTAAAGCAGAATCAACAAATTATCCAGTTGATGCTCGCATCGAGAGGCGTTGTCCCTCAGTTTGTAGAAGGAGCACCACTATCTCCAATATGAGAAGTACCATAACCTCTCTGCTTTGGGCACTAAGGCGCTCTTCACCGTGGCACCCAATGTCAGGGTGCCCCCATGCAGCGTCAGGGCGCCCCTCGCTAGGGAGTCCCCTTACTGCACGTAGGCGCCTCAAATGTCCCCCTTCCCCATATACCTACTCCACATGCTACCAACCATATTAGGTAAGAGGATGAGGGACAAAACCAATATGCTGATCATGAAAGTCACTACAATGACCCAACGAAGGATGTTTTCAACCAATGGGAAGAGAAGATTAAGGAGGTTCAAAACCAGCTTGGCGATGCCCTCAATGCCATCAAAACACAAGCGTCAGAGAAGGTGGATTACTTGGTAAGGTGCACTGATGTCTCGTTTGTTGTCGATGTTGTCAACTACCTCTGCCCTCGAAGTTCAAGATGCTTGCTATCGAGATCTTCGATGGTACCAAAGATCATCTGGATCGTCTTGACACATATAAATCTCTTATGCAACTCCACAACGTGCCTAATGAGATCATGTGTAGATGCTTGCCTTTAAGATCTTCGATGGTACTAAGGACCCTCTAGATCATCTTGACACATAAATCTCTCATGCAACTCTACAACGTGCCTGATGAGATCAGGTGTAGAGCCTTTCCTACCACCTTTAAAGGATCTGCTCGATAATTAATGGTTCACAAAAATCAAACCCTCTTCTATCCATTCCTTCTTGGAGTTAAGCAAATCCTTCGTCTCCCACTTTTTTGGGGGACGCCGACACCAGAAGTTGATTACCCACTTGCTCACTTTTAAGAAGGTTCGTAATGAAAGCCTCAGGAGCTATGTCACTCGTTTTAACGAGGAGGCTTTCTAGATCAAGGGTCCAAATGATAAGGTAACCATTGTCGCCTTTATTGCAGGGTTACACTCTTCCAGTTTCATGTTCTCCATCCTAAAGAAGCCACCATATAGCATGCCCGAGCTATTATCAAGGGCTAAAAGTACATGAACGCTGAGGATGTCACCGAAGCCAGACAGGGTGAGTCCTCCTGTGGGGGCAAGAAAAGAAAGGACACCCGCAAGGACAAACTGGAAGTAGATAACAAAAGAAATAGGACAAAGAGAGTCTCTGTCAGGGACTACCTTGGTCCCCCACCTCTGAGAGAATGGCAAGCCTTTACGCCGCTCAATGCTTTGATGGAGCATATCATATTCCAAATACAGGACGACCCTACTCTTCAATGACTAGGAAAGATGAAGTCCGCCCCGAACCAAAGAAACTCGAACAGATACTGTCGCTTCCACACTGCCCAAGACCACGGCACTGATGATTGTTATGAGCTTAAGAGGCAAATTGAGGAGCTCATACATCATGGCCAGCTGAGGTAGTACGATGTTGGCAGAGGACAAGCCCCGCCACCTAGCCGGGACCAGGATGACAGAGAACGCCAACAATTCCTCAAAGAAATCTAAACGATCTCTGGAGGTCTAGGAGGAGGAGGCGACTCTAACTCCGCCAGGAAAGCCAGAGAGGTGGAGTCAAACGACTTTTGTCAGATGAAGACACCCCAACACAGGGAAGAAGAGGTTATCACTTTCTCAAACAAGGACCACAAGGGAATCCAAGTCCCCCATGATGACCCTCTAGTATTAACCATGATGGTAGCCAACTATCAGGTTAAGAGAATTCTAGTCGACAGCGGCAGTTTAGCCAATACCCTGTTCTCACTAACCTATGATATCCTCCACCTTGGCAGGGAGAGATTGCAACCCATTAGGACACCCCTTGTTGGATTCTCAAGGGAGAGGATTTATCCCTCGGGTTCCATCACCCTGCTAGTCACCGTAGGGACAATGCCAAGAAGCTCCACCATCATGGTGAACTTCATTATACTGGATTGTCCTTCTGCCTACAATATCATACTTGGATGCCCAACACTCAACACCCTAAGGGTAGTACCATCTACCTATCACCTGGTTCTTCGTTTCCCAACCCTCTGTGGGATCGGAGAAGTTAGAGGAAATTAAGTCATCGCCAGAGAATGCAACGTGGCCTCTATGAGGACCAAGAAACTCCAAGAGGTCCACTAAGTGAAAGTGTTTAACCATAGGGATGATAAGAAACTAGGAACAAGGAAACCTTGGCCCATCTATGGAACGCCGATTACCTGAAAAACTATTATCACTAACGGGTATAGGCCGGTGGCTCTCATTTTATTTGTCATTTATTATTTCAGCTGATTTATTTTGTTATCTAATATTTTATGAAATAAAATTTTACAAAAATTATTGTGTCTCGAACTATGTTGCTTTTATTTCATAAAGATTGTAAACAACTTACAAAAGTCGAAACATGATCTAACAATAAGGTAGACAGAAAAATAAAAGTCGTCATACTCTTAACGATCACTTACTACTCCCAAGCCTTTCTCATCAAGACTCTCTCGTCACCATCTATCCATGAGGCCTGATATGAGATGAAACCAAAGAAATCAATAGCAAGAAAAGATGCTAAGGCCTTTCCCCTAAACTTTTCATAGCCATCAATAAAGACATTTGCAACGGCACTCTCAAACAGCCTCCCTTCTCATCTCCATCTCAATGGAATAAGCCTCTGCAACGACAGCCTTCTCTCGAGCAATACGAAGCTCGGCCTCAGCTCCTATAGCCTTCTCACGGGACGCTAGTAACTCTGACTCTGGTCTCCTACAGATAATCATCTTATCAATCTCCAACTTCGTGCTCTCTTGTGAGTCACCAAAAAGCTCGGTCTAATCCTACCTCTAGTCCCAAGTGGTCTATGTCTCCAGCTATGTTCTCTTGCGAGTCGTCAAAAAAGTTTGGCCTAATCCTACCTCTACTATTAAGCAGCTTCAATCAGCTATGTGGAACTACAGTCCCCGTAGAAGACCACACTAGAGTCTCAACTTCTACATCGATACAAGGGCTAGCTCTGGTACACATAGGAGTCACAGTCCGGGAAGGAGTGACGGCATCACCGAATCTTGCTCTCGAAAAACAACCTGGCTATCGGACATTGACTGAAAAGTACTGGGGGCATCAAACCTCGCCCTTTTGGAAAGAGGGGAAGACGCTGCCCTAGATGCATAAAGAACCTCCACTTCCACCATCACTCTATCAACAAGAGTGCCTGTAATTAGAAACAAGGTCAATATAAAGAACTAGCATCAAGAAAACATTAAGTAGAAAGTAGGATGGGAGAAAGTGGGTTTGCCTCTTACCTAGCCGAAAGCCATCATAGTCTCCCTCTTTGGCGAAACCCAGAATGCTGGCCCGTCGCCCATGAATGCCTGACAATTGTTTGCCAAAGACAATTTCTCATTGCCGTCAGTTTCACTAACTTGTGTTTAAAACTTAAATTTTGTGAGAAAGAAGCATTTTTTGGAGAAATTTGGTGCCCAAACTACATTTGATAGTTTGTATGTTGTAGATCTTGAAAAAATATCTAAATTCAAAATATATATCCACCTCAAACAGACAACTGAGTACAAAGTTTTGGTTGTTCAAAGTTTTTTCATTTTTTCAAGGTTTTCTAATACTCCGGTTGGCGCCCCAGCGTCCACTCACTTCTCTTGGCTTTACCCAGGCCTCTTTGGCGTTGCTCGAACCATCTACGTCCTCTGGCATCGCCTAGGCCTCCTTGGCATCACCAAGACCAATACTAGCACCAACTAGCACAAGCCAACGCTCAGCGCCAGCCAGCACTAACCAGCATGTTCCTACGTCTGCAAGACGTCGCCCCTCATGTGGTAAGATTCATGCAGCCGTCTACATCGCCCAAACTGGTGTCCCTTAGGCCAATGCCCAGACAAGCATCGCCCACCTTGCTGGTGCTGCCCGTGTCTCTCCTGGTGTTGCCAAGACTGGATATGAAGTCGATGAGGCCTTTGTTCACTTTAGCATCGCCTATAACTCCCATCGCGAAGACTCCCAGCGTAGTCATAGCGTCGCTGATGACCCCTGGCTCTCGCTGTTCGACTGGAACAAGGAGTCGCCCAGCACGCTAGTGCCGCTCAATGCCTGGGACGACCTATTGACATCACCACTGCCAACTACGAAATTGCCTGAAGAGCCAACAATGGCGCTGCTACATAGTCTGGGGCATTGCTTGCATTCCTAAGGTACCTAGCGTCAACCAATGTTTTGGTCTCATCCAACATGCCCAAGGCGTTGACAATCCTCCTTTTGGCACCTCCATCAATTAGGGCGTCGCCCTTCCTTCTGTCGAGATTGCCCCTGCGCTTGGGACTTGCTCACTGTCGTTGCCATTAACATTGGTGCATTCACCCATCAATAAGGTGTTGCCTTGCTTCTCCCTTGTCATGGATCTCCTTGAAGAGAAGCTCAGCACCTCTTCATCATCTCCCTGCCAGTGTCCATGCCTCACTTCTTTAGCCTCTCAATAATGATTTATGGAATGAAGGAAGTAAATGTTGGTTTCAGCCCTAGAGAATATCTTGGGTAAATTAGGGGCATTCTTTAAGTTCCTAAAGATTGATGCCCTTGATAAGAAAAAAGGGATCAAGTTTACCGAAGACCCACCACAAATGATGATGGCCAATACAATGGGTGCCCAGCCATGGAGTTTGCAAAAACTTCACAATTGAGGGAATGGAGTTACCACTGACATGCAGAACAAGAAACATTGTACCTATCTAGTTGAAGGAGCTCACTCATTCCCTCAACCCCTTTCTCTCGAAAGTAATCGGGGCTTAGGGCATGTGGGGCAAATGATGAACCCAGAATCAACTGGCCCAAACCCAATAAATTAAATGAACTTAGATCAGCTAAAAGGATCCTTCAAGCCCAACTCATGGGTTCAACCCAATTCATCGATCCGATCCGATCCAGAATTGAAGGAGTCTAAGAATATTAGAGCATGTGAAAAACAATCATTGTGATACTCACTCTTGAAAATCAAGACAGTCTTTAATTATACTTACCTTTTGCAGCTATCATCCCCGAAGGACTAGTAACTTTACCCTCACGTCACCGCCTCAACTAAAACTCTATGCCTATAAATTATAAGCTCCTTCTACATGAGAGGACATCTCTCTACACATCCCTCACATAGTTATTTCTCTCTCTTAGCTACTATACCTCTCTCAGAGCTAACCTTTGCTCTCTATCTCTCTCTCTCACCTTACTTTATTAATAAAGGTTCTCCAGTCACTGTTGCCATTTTTCGGAGTTGAGCAAGTCACTCTGATCGAACCACTATATACATTTGTGTTGACCCAATATTTACCTTTTTGTCATTGATTGTTTTATTAATTGTTTCATTAATTCCCTTGCATCATTCACTCGACTGTTGATTGTGCATAAGTCTATTTTGTGCATCATCATATATATCAAAAGATATTTAGATAAATAAGATATATTTTAATACAAATAATTAACTTTTCATCTATCCACTTTTTCATCCTTCCTATTGGATTTTGGTGAGTTGAAAGAAAATCTCATCCATCCACTTTTTCATCTTTTCTATTTTTCTCCTATACCAAACATGATGTTTTATTTATCCCTCTAACTTTACATCATTCAAACTTTCCATTCTTCTAATTTTCATCATACTAAACGGGGCATTAATGATTTGTATATTAAAGTTAGATCACCTAAATTACACGGGGTAGAACATACCTGTGTGAACCATGGTATTCAATTTTCGTGCTTCTTTCTTAGAAGGGCAAAGTATTTCTCTTATTTTTCAAAGTAATAGGCGGCTCTCAATGGACAAACCAAATTAGGTTATGATAGAGAGGGGATGCAGCCTTCTATTTATAATGAATCTAATAGGCTCTCCCATTATGGGCCACAATTAGATTAAGGCCTAGACTTAACCGCCTCAACCACATCAATTAAAAAAATGTATATAAGTCTATCAAAATAGATCACTTAATAATATTGGACTCATATCATTGGACTATAAATTCAATCCATTTTTTACAAACTCAAAATTAACTATCAATTAATCGAAGTCTAGTATGAAAAAATTCTAATAGTTATCACATAACGCGCTCGTTCAATTCGAGACGTTATAAGTTACATGCCTAAGAGAATTGGGGTGTGACATAGATGTTTTCTGATTGCATGTTAGTTGATGAATAGGTAGCTTCTTCTAGTGTAAGGTAAAATAAGATAGATTCATTGCTGTGTATTTGTTGCAATGTGCCATTATTGTGTCTAGGTCAGCAAAAAACACCATTGGCTCTTCTTAAGATCAAAATCACCTGAGGAAGAAAAAGAATGAAGAAATGGAAAAAACAGACAATTCAATTTTATTTTCAACTAATCCACTGAAAATCTAGTTAGGAAAGTTCCCTTGCCACATCTCACCGCAGTTACTTTCATATTTTCAATAGGCCTTTGTGGTCATTGAGGGAAGAAAATGGGTAACGAAGGGATAACTCAAGTTGTTATAAGGATGAACTGTAAACTCAGACGTTTTGAGTTTGAATTTTGACATTGCTTTAGGCCAAACCATGAGGGATTTATCTCTTATGAATTTCCTAGTTCTAACGAAAATGATCTATTTTTGATCGGACTAGTGAGAAAATTAATTTAAATACACATAAACCGACCAAAATATCCCTCGCCGTTGAACAAAAAAAGAAGGGAGCAAATGAAAGGAATTCCTTCTACCAACCCTTCTGTTCAACCCATTAGTCTAGTCCACTGGTACATTAATGGATCATGATCACATGACATATACAATGTACTAATGCCATATTTTTGTCTTTATTATTTGGTTACAATGAAACTTTAATTAAGAATATTCTGAAGATATGAGACTTACTTTAATTAAGAACTAGTTATTGTCTGTGCTTGAAGGTACAGAGTAAAAAAAATGGTAAACAATAAGCATATTTGTATTCATATTCAAAATTAAATCACAAACATAAAAAATAGATAAATAAATTTAAGTATCAGTTTGTAGTAAGAGTGAGAGGTGGTGGGCGATAATGGTGGAGGTAGGAGACGATGATGGTTGTAGTGCGTGGCAATGACCGTGGTGGTGGCAAGGGCAGCGGCGATGGTGGCGGCGGTGATGATGGTAGTGGTGGTGGTGGTGACGACGGTGGTGGTGGTAGTGGCAGTGGGGGGTGGTGATGATGGCGGTAGTGGTGGTGGGGGTGGGGGNGATTATGAGACAATGTTAAGAATAATGTTTTATTTATTCCACGGGAAGATAATATTTGATTTTTGGATGTAATTGTCATGTTTTGTACATATTTATTTTGGATGATGCTTTAGTGATTATAGATGATGAATGTAATTTGTTTAATTATGAATTTTGTGGGTTGCTCTCATGATACGAATAGTTATAGATATTAATGCCTTTTAAGGTAGATTTTGGGGCGTTACAGTTAGGCCTACTGNAGGTAGTGATGTGACAGTTTCAAATACTATTTTTTTTTAAAATTATTTATGAGAAATAATTTTTAAAAGTACTTTTAAAAAGTAACTCCAATTACACCTTTAGGGTCAATTTTTTTTTATTAAATTTAGGGTGTTAATATTAACCATTAGATTAACTTTAAAGTAAAATTTAAAGCGATCTCAATCGCAAATAGCAAAAATCATTTTGTTTATCTTTTGAAATTTGAATTGTAAACTACATTATTGTATAGATATTATAAAGAGATGAAACTTTAATAAGTTATACGAGAATTTAATTAGGAATATTTTACCGTGATTAGCTGCTTAAATAATATCATTTTTTTATAACCTATAAAAGACGTGTGTTCTTATTGTTTTTAATAACTTTTGTTGAATTAAAGATTTATTTCCTTTTTGCAAATATTTAGGGTTTTGGACATTTTATAAATTGTCCATATATTTACGAGTTTTATCCATTCTATTAATAGTGCTTCATATTGTTTTTCTTATTTTTTTCTTGTGGATTTAGGATTGTGCGTTTGATATATGAAAAAAATAGTACTTTCTTTGTATTATCTTTACCACAACATCAATATATCACGAGTTTTCTCAACTATTAAATTCAGGGTCAGCCTATCCTCAAGGCTAATAAAGTCTTGGCTTTAGACCCCATATTTTTAGAAGACACCATAATTTTAAGTATATGGCTAGGCCGCCATAAAAAATTTAGGAGAAATTGTGAAAATGTACGTCATTTCATACTTATTTGTGTAAAAATATCTCAATATAAAACATATGTGTATAAATACCTTTGTTTGTAAATGTTGGGTGAGGAGATACACTTTTGCTGATTTTAAATTTTTTTTTTATGGAATTGCCCTTTTCCTTTATTAAAAGGGAGACAAATCTAACAGTTATATTAGGAATTCAATTTCCTAAATTTATGGAATAACATTTTTGAATTTTAAATTATATCTTCCTCTTTCATTCAACTGAAGTTAATCAAACATTTATTTTTATTTAAACATTCATGTCTTTCTCACATTTGTATAATTTATTTTTTTATTTTTTTAAAAAATTGTAATGAAAATATATATGTTTTCACCTTATATAATATCATTGGTTGTTATGGGTGTTTTTTTTCATATATATTTTAAATTTAAATTTATATGTATGTTATTCGATGTATTTATAAGTATCAATGATACATGTCGTATTGTCACAATGGTACATATTACATTGGCACAGTGGTATATGATAATGTCATAGTAATACAAGCCAATGTCATACTGATACCAACCAATATCACATTTTTACACACCAATGTCACATTACATACATTGACATGACATAGGACGCAACACACATTTTGAATAACTAAATCTAATGTAAATAAGATTACATTGTATAACAAACAAACAAGCGAGGGTGAATTATGTTTGTAGGTGAAATTAGAGTTGTGAGGAGGTGATGATGCTGGTTGTTGTCTCGATCAAATAGTGTATGTGGGATTGGAAGGTTTTGAGGGCGGTGATAAACGGTAAAGTCTGTTGTGAGAATGCAGTTGTATATGACCTCTTTGATTTTTTTTTGGCAAATGATTGAACACTTGGTGTGTATGTAATACCAAGCACCAGAAGCAGAAAGGTAGTTGAGTGAAAAAAAAATAGATAAAATAAAAATATTTGGAGAAACAACATTTTTTTTAAGTAATCAACTTATTTTCCAAAAATTTTAACGATCTCAACCATCGTTCTTTTCCACAATGCACTTTTGTTTTTAACGATTAATGCTCTGTGTGGTATTAATAGTTTGATGTCGACTTTTTCATTTCTTCGCAATGAAACCCTCGAAAAAAAAATCATTTCAATAGAACGTTTTTCAAAGAATGGTAGTTTTAGGAAAATTTTGTCATCCACATTGGAAGATCACACAATTTGAGGATAATGGTGGAATAATGGGTAACTGTATCTATTCCTTTCCTTTCAAATGAGTACGCAAATGTTTAGGAAACAGTTCCCTTCTACTGAAAGGGGTAGTTTAGACTTTTGCTATGTCTTGTATACTTTTTCACTAATATTTTTAAACGAGGTATTTTTTGTCCTATATTTCATCTAAATCCCATGATAACTTTAAGCCTTATAAAAAGGCCCCAAAAATTTTATCAATAACTTGGGTTCATGATCCAACCCATAACATTA